CTCCTATCGGGTTTGACAGCACCTTTTTTTCTCCCATCGTCCCATCTGGGGTGCTGCTGGTGCAGGCAGCTCCTCCAGCCCCTCCTGGTCCTCGTGTGCTCCAGGAGCTGCTCGGGGCTGTGAGTCCTTCACCTCCATCAAACTCACTCTGACAATGATGGTGATGTGCTGCCATGAACGCTCTGCGGAGCGCTGGTGCTCTCCTGCTGCCAATGGACGCACCGTGGGCCGATGGAGCCACACCACGCACTGGATGTACTAATTTGAAGCAATTAACAAAAGAGTTGGCAGTTACTCATAATAGAATATGAGAGAGATGAGATCAGCATCTCTTTTTCTTCTGCTATGAGATTATCTTGAGATTCACAAAGCTGCAGCTTCCTGTGACGACCACACTGCAGTTCTCAGACGTTCCGTCCCTCTGGCAATTAGAACAGAGTTGGTGATGAACCTTTACTGGGTTATTGAGTTGTGCCCCTCATCCCCCTGTCTTCACAGGTCCGCATTGATATTTCTTGATATGTCTTGCATTTATGTTTCTCTGTAAGGGGATGGCCCTCTGCTCAGATATACCCCTACGTTCAGATGCACTGCACAGCATCTGAAAGCACCTCAGTCACGACCCGCTGGTTTATAGGTGGCATCTCCAACGCTGGTTATGATGTGAGATAACAGGGCCTCATCTGGAGCCCTGCGAGCGAGGGGAGCGGGCAGTGCAGGCTGCCAGCCAGAGCCCAGCGAGCCCAGGAGCACCGGGACAGCGAGGGCTGCAGGGCTCAGTGCTGGGGAGCGGCACAGGGTGACACCTGAGGGTCCTTCCACTCAAACCACTCGGCGGTTCGGTCGCGCTCTGTGCTGCACAGGAGCAGCAGGGGTTGACTGGAGGGCTGGGGGTGTTGTGTGCTTTATCTGTGTGCAGATGGCACAGGGCTCACAGCTCTGCACCCGTTGGGTGGTAGCTGCCCCTCCCCCATGTCAGGGTGGCCAAGGGCACACAGCCCAGCGTCCCGCTCCCACGGAGGTTGGTGAGGAGCTCTGGAGCTCCCAGGCTCTGCCCCAGTGCTGGAGAGCGGCGCTGGGGCTGAGATGAGGGCGACTGAGGTGCCTCCACTCCCCGTGCTTCTCACTCCATCGCCGAGCGGCACGGAGCAAAGTGGCACCAACACCTGCCAAGGCCCAAACGTTCCCAGCTCTTCCCACAGAGCAAAGGCAGAGCGCGATGGGGAGCGGAGGGGTGAGGATTCCTTCCTGAAGGTTCTGAGCTCCAAAAGCTGTGCTGAAATCTGAAAATCTTCAGCTATGGGGAAAGAGAAGGAAATACCTCGAACTGTCGCAATGCTGCATGTGCTCAGTTTAGGGCGCCTTTCAGTCATCCTCACTTTCTGGAATTAGATTGTGCAATTTTTTTTTTCTCTAGCAAATGCATGAGTTTTGTTTTTAATGAAGAAATGTTAAATCTCCCTTATATTTCACTTTGAAAGAGCTATAAAAGTGAAATGTGGAACTCATTCTTCCATGTGGATGATTAGAAGCCCAAAGTACATCTGTTCCACATGAACAACTGCAGGCTTTGCTGTCACAGAAGGACCTCTATTTCTGTACTTTCCATGTATTCCTGCTGATTCCATTCCTGTGTTCTGCACTGTGAAGGCAGAAAAAGTCACAGTCCAGACTGGAATCAAACTGCTGCAAGTGCTCCAGTGTGAAGGAAAAGCGCTCTGATATTAAGTTAAACCTCTGCATTTAACAACAGTGAGTTTGGTGCAGCAGCATCAGGGCTCACAGCTGAACTGCTGCTGGGAAACCAGAGGATCCTCATTAGAGCTGCAGAGTAATTGCATAAATACAGCATTTGGAGTGATGATCTCATTTACATCTGTGGAGGAGCCGTGCACTGCCGGAGCTGCAGCACCATCCACTTCAGAGCAAAGCAGTTTTCAGGCTCCTGATCACTATTTCACTTCTCCTCCAGAACAGTGAATACCTTTCTTAGCTGCTGAGAGCCGGGTACGACTCAGAATTACGAGGTGAATTTCGGTTTTTGGGAATGAATTATGAAGGTATTTGAACCTGCGCTGTGAATTTATGTTTAAATTCCACCACTGTTCTATTGGAATTCTGCACCGAGCTCTGGAGAGCGGCAGTAATTTATGTACGAGGATGCCTTAAAATAAGCCTCCGTAATTACAAAAATGCAGTGTTTAAATTTATAGTAAAAACCCACACACTGCTGGCGAAACTGTAACTGCATCTGGAAAACATTAAGGATGCTATTAAAGCAGTCCAGCATAAACTAGAAATGAGACTGAAATTACAGCGCTGCTTACTTAACCATTTTTAGGAAGCGTTTTGAATCTGAGCGACGTTCCTGTCTGATTTTCTGATGCAGCACCGCGTGGTTTCGTGTTTGCTGTCCTCCGTTATCTGCTCTGACAAACCTGCAGCCCCAACAAACCTACAGACAAACCTGCAGCCCGGCTGCTGGCGGTGCTCTCACAGCGAGGGCTCCAAGCACAGCGCGGTGGCTGTGGGGAAAGGAGTGGGGGGACCCCGAAGGACAAGGATGAACCACAGCAATTAAAAACTTGTTTTATTAAAAAGATGAAATGTTTTCAAACATTGAAAAACCACGTTTTTATAAAAACAGAAATAGGCAAAATACCCATTTGTCTTCTATTTACATATACAATATTTCTCGCTGTATAAAATTATTTACAATATATAAAAAAATTACAGTAAAATAGGTTATTTTCTTACAAGACATCAAGCCCTGTACTTCTAGTGTAGATCATGGCAAACATGAGTATTATTGCACCTGTGAAACAAACAGTCTAACAATAGGAGTGTTCTCTTAGCCATGCCTTCAGCCAAGATCTAAAATAACATCGAGCTACAGTAACATTCACTTAATCTCTCCTAGGGTCAACTTCAGGCAGTTTCCATACAAACATTGTCTCATTAAGCTTAGGGCACTTAGAGCCGGAACAGAAAAAGAAGATATTTACAGCTTCTTCTATACAATCTGTATGGAGTCTCACGGAGTTCACCCTTCACAGAAGCTGCATAAATAACCCCCGTCCTCCCCGCACGGCGCGGGCAGATTCGCAGACGCCGCCTCGTCAGGTTCTGTGCAGGAGACGCCGGCTGGGTCTCCTTGTGTCCAATCCTTGGCGGCCGGAGCGCGGTGCCTCCCCACGTAGTACCAGCTACAGGTTCGGAGCGTTCTGCACCTCAGCAGCTCACAAGGCTCACTGTCCGCTGGGCCCCGCGGCTACATGTGCCGCTTCATGTGCAGGGCCAGGTGGTCCGACCTGGAGAACGCCCGGTCGCAGAGGTGGCACTGGAAGGGCCGGTGCCCGGTGTGCTTGCGGTAGTGGCGCGTGAGCTCGTCGGAGCGGGCGAACTTCCAGCCGCAGCCCTCCCAGTTGCAGTGGTACGGCTTCTCACCTGTCAGGGAAGCAGAGCGTGACTCAGCGCGGCGCTCCCACCCCGGGCAGCGTCACACAGCCTCATCCCAGCGCACGACACCGAGCCCTTCCCTTCCACGGGCAGATCCACCACTACAGAGCCACAGCACCGCTCTGCCGATTCCTTTACCGCCCTGAGAACCCGCTGAGAAAGGGCCTTGAAAGCCGCCCTTGGAGCAGCCCTGACCCCCAGACAGACGCCCTCGGTCTGACCACCTGTCACAGCCCAGCTGTGAGCGCTCCGGGGACTGGGAGACTACAGGATTAAAGCTCACACCGCCACAAACCACTCCAGCAGGCAGCCATCCCACCCGGCCGAGCTTACCTGTGTGTGTCCGCAGGTGGGCCTTCAGATGTGAACTCTTGGTGTAGGTCTTCCCACAGCCCGCGTATGTGCACGTGTGCGTGGCCGTCCTCTTGCGGGGCCAGGAGCGCCGGCCTCTTTTTGGCTTGGAGTCCAGCAGCTCCAGCGGGGAGGATGGAGGGGTGAGCATGCCCCGGGGAGCTGAGGGCTGGAGGGGCAGGCTGTCCTCGAAAAGGCCGTACTGGGAGGTGTTCTGGTACTGGAGGTGGGTCTGCGGGTGGTGGAAGCCGGAGGGCGGGTGGTAGCTCTGCTGGAAGGACGAGGGGCACATCATCTGCGTGTGGCAGTCGTTCACCATGAGGTCGTCGGGGCTCAGCGGTGGTGTCTCGGCACCGGGGATCTGAGGGGAGTTGGCCACCCGTGGCTGCTCGTAGGCCATCATGCAGGTCGCGCTGCCCTCCTGCTTGATCTTCGGGCAAGCCTGCGGCACCAGACCCAGGACTGGCCCATAACTGTCCATGTCAGGCTCGGGCTTGATGCTGTCCACAAACTGCGGAGCCCCGAAGCTGGGTGTCACGAAGAAGCGCCCGTGCACGCTGCCAGCTGGGCAGTAGTCAGAGTCCATCTCGGGGCGGATCATCTCGGGAGCGATGCCGGCGCTGTAGGGCGGGGGGCTGCCCTGTTCCAGGGCGTTGTAGCATCCCGGGTTCGGGTTTGTCTGGTAGAAGCCTCCGCTCTCCCCTTGCGCGGGGGGAAAGTCCCCGCCGGCAGCCCCCTGGCCGTAGCCGTCGCTGCCCATGGAAAGGATAAAATCCAGCACGTTGTTGAGGTCTTCATCCTCTTTGCGCGGGGAGAGGTCGCCCCAGGTGCCGCCGGGGGCCTTGGCCTCCTGCTCGCACTTCCACCTCTGGGGGAAGAAAGAAAAGGGAGAAGGTTAGCGGTGCGGCCGGGAGCGGGGGTCGGGGGCAGCGGGGCGGGCAGAGCCGCGGGGGCTCAGCGGGGCTCGGCCGGGCCGGGCCGGTGCCGCACTCACTTCGTGGAGCGCTTTCTCGCGGCAGGGGCTGGCGAAGGTGGCGAAGGAGGGCAGGATGGTATCGCTCAGCGCCATGGTGCGGCCGGGCGGGACGCGGCGCGCAGAGCCGCCCTCCCACCTTATAACGCGGGCGCGGGCGCCCTCAGGCCAATTGCAGGGAGCGGAGGAAACGCGTCCCGGACGGGGCGGGCGGGGAGGCAGCGGCTCGAGCGCAGCCTAAATTTAGCCCCGGTATAAAAGGACGCGGCGGCGGCGGCCGCAGCCCGAGCGGGGCGGAGCGGAGCGGGGCCCAACGGCGGCCCCTGACCGGCCCCCAGCGCGGGGAGCGGAGCCGGGACCCCCCCAACACGCGCACACGGAGACACACGCACGTACACAGACACACGCACACACATACATGCATACACACGGACACGCACGCACACACACGCTCACAGACAGGCACTGACATGCACACACACATGCGCACGCACATAAGCGCACATACATGCACACACACGCACATACGTGCACACACACGCACATACATGCACACATACAGACACAGACACTTCGGACACGGGGTGCCGGGGGTGTAGGGTCCCCGCGCGTGGCACTGATGGCTCTGCGTCTCTGTGGGACCCCCGTGGGGATTGGGGTCGGAGGCTATGGGGGGCCGTCCGTGACGCGGGGTGATGGCGGTGAGCCCACGGCCCGCAGACACCGCGAGGGGGTGGGGGTTCGCTCCCCTCCCGCAGCGGCTGCCCTCCGCCCCGATGCTCCCGGCGGTGCCGTCGGAGCCGCTCGGTGCTTCCTGGGCCGGAGCCGTGCGAGCAGCGGGAGCTCTGGGCTCGGGCAGTTCCCGTTTGCTGCACAAAGCACCCAAAGCAACGTTTCCTTATGCTACAAGGACAGAGACAACGCAAGGAGCTCCTGAGCTCTCCTTTGGCCGTCGCCAAATTCTGGTCTTGGGCTGAATGTTTCCGAGGGGAACGCTGTGCTCCCTTGCCTCGGCCTGTGGCCCCAGTGCCCGCTCTTAAGGAACGATTCTCCAGTAATTTTTGATAATGTGCCCCAGGCTGCTGCCTTTGAGAATCGCAGCTGCTTGGCAGCCGTCCAGGACAGAAAGAGCAAAAGTGGCAATTCTGAAATGAGGAAAATGATGATCTATTGCGGATAGAGAGATTCTTTGAAAGCCAGCTTCAGGGAAAGAGCCGCGCTTCCCCCGCACCTCCTCCATATTTTCTTTGCGATCAATTCTAAAAGAATTTCTGCCTTATAGATGAGAAAAAATGTAGAACAACCCTTGCTTTTATGTGCTGTGTGCCCCGAGAGGGGAAGGAGTGATGGGTTCTGGATCTCAAGGAGCATTCTGAGCGTGTTCGCTAAAGCCCATCCCAGGAAAGCACAGTTGCTAGGGGGAATAAATGCTCTTTTCAATAGCTGCACATGTTTTAACATAACGAATACCTCTTGTATAACTTTCTATACTTTTTACTCTGAAAGTTCGCAGGATGGCCAGGAGGAGCAGCCAAACTTCTGTGATTGGAGCAGAATCAATACACCGAATGCATGGTAACGAAGTACACAAAGATGTGTGACTCATCGCTGTGCAATGTCACACTTGTGTAATCTTTCAATGTAAACTCTTTTCCTCTAATAAAATGTTAGTAAGTGCACAATACGTATATATGGCGCTGTGAGTCAGCCAAGAAAATACACTCTGATGAATTCAGAATGAATGTGAATGTTCCCTCGATAACACACCCTGAATGTCTGTGTCAGTTTATGTGCTTGTGATTTCAGCAACAGCTATAGCAAAATATTTTGTTTCTAGGATATACAACTCCATGTACGTTCGCAGCAGCTCGGCCGGACGCTGCCTTCCAGTCGGCGCTGTGAGGACGTTTGTTGGTAGCAGAGCTCTGTCACCCAGCTGCATCCCTTTTCTTTTCATAAGAGGGACGTTTAATGGGCAGGGAGGATGAAAGCTGAGCTGGTGAAATAATGGATTCACTGCCTTTCGTTTCTTTTTGTTTTCCAATAAGGCTACAGAGCTACCAGACGATAGCTATATTAAACCTGGTGAGAGGCATGTGAGAATTTGTTTACGCTGTGAGTCACCGTGCTGTACAAATTGGGCACAGCTCTGCCATGACCTTCCTCGGATCTGCAATCAAGCACTGACATTTTCCGGCTTCATTAATTTATTTGTGTATTGCTGTATGCAATGGTTATTTAAAATGTCTGATATGGAGACCCTGGCACTGATCTCACTAACGGCAGCATAGGAAAGGAGTGATGCCACTGGTGTGGGGAAGCAAAGAATGTGAGATTAGAAGTATTTCTTAATCTGTCGTGGGTAGAGGAGAACTAAATGATGTGTGATTTGTCTTCCAGCCAAAGCAAACACAGGCTCTACCATTTCTGAACGACAGCGTTGGTTTTTCGAGGTGTTGCTGCTGATCTCTGTTGTTGCTTTTACATCAAGGGAAACTTGTGAAGGGATTGTAGTCACGAAATAAAGGATTGAGAGCTGGGGCGATGAAGTGCACCCGTGGTGAAACTGCAGCTGGAGCGGTTGGGGAGATGCCCACACGTCACCTGGCTTCTGCGGCTCTGAGTCATCGCACAACTCAAACAAACAAACAAACAGAGCTGCTTTCACGTGGGACGGTTCTCAGGGCGTCCTGCTGCACCTCAGCCTCTATCATGGCAGCGGGGAAAGGGCTGAGCTTGGAGCTCTCAGCACCGCGGGCGATGCTGTGACCAAGCACTGCGTGCGCAGGAGGCACAGACGCCGTATCTCTGTCCCAAACTGCCACCATTCTGTTGACTCTTTCTTTCTTTCTTTCTTTCTTTCTTTCTTTCTTTCTTTCTTTCTTTCTTTCTTTCTTTCTGTCTTTCTGTCTTTCTGTCTTTCTGTCTTTCTGTCTTTCTGTCTTTCTTTCTTTCTTTCTTTCTTTCTTTCTTTCTCAGACTCTGAATTCGTGTTTTCAAAAGTCTGATATCAAAGAAGAAGTCAGTAAAATGATGTGAACTACCACATGAAGGAACTGTACAGGTGTTTTTAAGATAGGCATCTCTCAATGTTGAAGAGTGATTTAATCCCATAGGCCTTTTTTTGGTAATTAAAGTAATATCACAAATTAACTTGATAAAGGAGCCGTTTTTACCAGAGCTTTTCCTGTACAAGGACCTAAAGGGGAAGGCAGACCTCCATCTCTTTGATAGCATGGAGCTCCTGGGGCTCATCACGCCTTTGATACGGCACATTTTCCTTTTTGTGTGTCTGTGATTTCCTTCTCAGCTGTGTGTATGTTCTCAAAACCTTTCCCTCTGAGGCGTCTGACAGCAGCCATCTCTGCAGCACTTCCTTGATCTTTGCCATCTACGACTTTATCAGTAACGATTTCTGTTTTCTTCCAGGTCATTGTTAACAATGCTGAATTGTAAGTGGCCCTGAAAGAGATAAAGAACTAATAAACCTGCTGGATTAAAAATTAAATTAGCTTTCAAGATGTGCCAACTTATGTTTGGACCAATGTGCGTGTGCGCACCATATTGATTTGTCATGTTCTTGTTTCTTAATGTGAAAATCACATTGCACAAGGCACGAGTGGCTCGTTGCATCAACACTGCTGCCTTATTTAAAGTGCAGTTAAAAGCCATTGTCATTAACTAAAGCAATTCTGTTCATCATTCTTGTACCGTATCAAATCTCTCCAGTATTTTGCCCACGTTTTTATGGCGCAGAGGAGCCTATGTGGGCCGTTCTGTTTACCCTGTTAAAATATATTGACATAATATCAACATTCTTCAAGTCACCTGGGGCTTCCCCACTGTTCCAAAATTGATTGATAATAAACATTAACCATCTGGATATGTCCTTAGTTGGTTCTTCTGAAACACTCACTTATAAGTTACCCAGACCTGGCAACTTAATCTTGTTTGAGCTGAGCAGCAGTTGTTTTAACATCCTCCTTAGTTACTGGAATGGAAAGTATTTCAACATCATTATTGTCTGATCTGAATGCAGCATCTGGCTTCTTCTCAAAGAGAGAACAGAAATATTTTGTTGTGCTTACTTCTGCTTTTTCAGCATTACTATTGACAGGTCTATCATGTCCACTCGTTCCGATGGCAATCCTAATTCACTCTGGTGAAGCCTTATTAACTCATCTGGAAGGTGAACAAACATCAGCCGTTGCTGATACTTTCAGCCACTGCAGACTTCCCTGGGCACAAAGGAAAATTAAGCTTAAAGTCCATCTCAATAAATAAGTCTACTATAAAAGCTTTCTCAGAAATGCACGAGGAAATACTGCCCCTGTGATTAAAGTACGGTAATGGTTCAGTGAATCATGCAAAATTCAGACGTTCTGTGAATTTAATTGTGAGTATGTATTTTAACCCAAGTTTGCCTTGTGAAGGATGACAGCATTCAGCTATAAATCTTCTTTTGTCATTTTCGGTTCGGGGGCTCTTCAGACCCACGGAGTTTGCCCCAGTTTTTTAATTACCAGCTTTGATTAGGTGTGCAGTTGTGCTTCTGCCAGCACTTCTGACACGTGCGTGTTGTTGGATTGCAGATGTCCCTTTCAGCTTTCAATTAAAGACACATTTGATGAATCTTTCTTTTCTTGTACAGAACTGTGAAATGATGCCACAGTTTCAAAAACTGTACTGTCACGTTTATCAGTGAAACTGCCTAAATTATCAGGCACAAATTATGAGCTACAGTTTTCTATTGTTTCCAAGTAGTTTTTATTGCGGTGTCAGTAATCAGGAGGTGGAACAGTGGGGTTGTGATAGAGGCCAGAAAACACCTGGAGTGCTTTCACCCAGGTGAGCTGTATCAGCACAGCAGCATTAATGCAGCCCATGGGTTGCATTCGTGTTGCTTTGGGAGCTTTGAGGCAGAGCATGGTGGAAGGAAAAATCCCACTTTGTCCTGGAACAAGGTAAGAGTGGCATTGTGAGATTTCAGACTTGTTGCTTCTTTCCTGGACTTTGTTTTAGGAAAGAACTGACATCGTTTACTGGAGAAGGCAGGAGAAAAAGTAGAATGATGTATTATTATCTCTTGTGTCCATTTGGGATCGTTAGTAATGTTGTAAGGCATGCAAAGTTAACTGGGTTTAGGAGTAAGAACTGTGTTTGGGGTTTAATTAATGCAGGAAAAAATTCTGTTTGAGGGAACTTCAAAGAACCAATCAGATGTGCTTTTCTTTTTAATTTGTAAGATCTGTTGCAGTCTGAGTCAGCATGGCAGATGCAGATGGCTTTCTTAGCACAGTTTTTGTCACTTTGAAGTTCACAGTTTTTAACTGGGGGATGGGGAGGGACAACTGGACAAAGCTCAAAGTCAGACGCGAGCAGAGCATTACTCAGAAAGCTTTTTTTTTTAATCTCCTGTCATTGACATGCAGAGCATTTTTATAGGTGGTGGTTATATCTGATAAGTAGAGGATAAGTCACCAAATACTCCAAGTAGGAGTTCATATAGGGTGTAGGGTGGAAAGCCTTGTTTAGCGTGATGAGCATGTGGGGTTCAGTTCTCATTTATAAAATGCCTTCTTTGTACTGCACCTGTATTACTTATTAGTCATATGTCCTGCAGTTGTGTAATGGGAAATACTGGAGCAAGCATTTCGTTAACTGTGACACTGTTAATTGGTATTGCTGCCGCCTGGAATTACTTTCCCTGTTTGAATACATGGAAGTATGAATCAGAGCGTAGTGAATTAGCCAGGGAGAGGAAGACTGGCATCTCTGCATGGTAGGCTGTATGGGTAGAGCAGCTGATCTCATGTGTCTTCCTGGGCTGTGAAGTCCTTCTCAGACTTACATCACTGCATTCAGAATGGTACATGTATTTATATTTCCCATCATCGCAATTAGTTGTATCATCATGATTAAGCTTTGAAATCTCAGTCAGATATTTTGGGACATGCTGTTTCCTGCGGGATTGCGTCTGTTGCAGCTACTTTTTTTCTTTTTTGAGCTATAAAAGCCAACCTTTTTGGATATTTATACATTGAAATTCCTGGCTGCCTCTGAGCTGAAGAACTGTGCTATGTGCTGCATAGAAATGCCTTCTCTCCAGAAACAGAAGTTCTGCTCATTTATCTGCACACCACATAGCTCAGCTGATGTGCCCTCCAGGAATGTCACAGTGCTGACAACAAGCTCCATGGTGCAATTAAGTGCCAAACTTCAGGTTTGACAACAGTCAAAGTTATTGATAGTTGGTGCTATAGCAGATATATATATACAGCAATTACAGTTCAAGAGCAGAACGCTGTTGAAATCCCTTGGACGGTTACAGCTATTCTTGAGCAATACGATTCTTTTTGAGAGACGGCCTCGTACAATGCAACTTTGTAGAAAGAGTTGTGAAATTTTCTTTTCATTTGCCACACAAAGTGCCAAATAAATGTTTGCAATAAAAATACAAGCCTGGGAAGAATGTGTTTTGCCAATTACAGCATAACACGAGCTACAAAGAAGGGTTCAGAGTGGCGTTCAGTGTGGATTTTAGTGTTCGGTTTCGGCAGGGAAGACGGGGCATGAATTTGCCCAGCAACAGTCAGGATTTCACCCCATATTTGCAAATAAAATGGTTGCCTTTGGGAGAGAAGGGCTGAAGGGCTGGGGCTCTGCACGCTGAGGGCGGCCGCGGCTCGGCACGAGCAAAGCGCCGGCACTGCGGGGCGCAGATTGGTGCTGCCGTGCAGTTGCTGCATTGGTCTCTGCTTGGCCCGTGCTGGGCCCGGGGGTGGTGACAATTCGGGGGCCCTTTCTCCTCTTGCTCAAGAGCGGTGTGATTCACCCTCTTCCCTTTTTCTGAGTTTCACATCGCAGAGAACAGGGTTATTTTTCAGCACAACTTTTACTTCGCCCTAAAGTTAGTTACCGAAACGCTGCGGCCCGGCCGCGCTCTGCCCCGCAGGAGGCAGAAGGGCACGAAGGAGGGCAGCCTGCGCCCTGCGTCTCCCCAGGCGGTTCTGCGCCTCCCTCCGCTCAGAGCCACCTGCTCTCCGCCATGGCGATGTCTCATTCGCATGGAATCGGCGCGCAGCAGCCGGCCAAGAGGCAGCGGCGTGTGTGAGTGAGCGCGAGGGGATCCTGCCGGCCCTTATATACCGGGGTTATTTTTAACCACAGCCTCCATGCTTATTACAGTGTTTCCTCTCTCAGACGCTCAGGAAGCCCACTTGGCTCTGTTTCCTGCTAACATGCGGCCCTGGCTCGCAAAATCTCTGAGAACAACAGGCTTGAGACTGCTCGGCTCCATTAAAAAAGCTGGCAGCTTGTCAAGGCCTGACAGAAAACCTTTGAAAGCTCTGGATTTCCTCCAGCGAACGTATGAGGCTCCTACATCGGTGACAAATTAGACTGAAACAGCACAAAACGCTCCTATATAAATAAGCCCTTTTTCTCTGCGCTCACCCTTTTAATAGTTCGAACATTATTTATAGTTATTTCTCTGGATGGAAAAATATTTTCATGTTTTTCCAAAGATGGGTTCTCGTGAAATGTTTTCCCTGTTTGTTTGGTGGGTTGTGTGTGTGGGGTTGGTTGGGATTTTTTTTTTTTTTTTCCTTTTTCCTTCGAGATTTTTGTGACGGTTTTCTTAAGCTCCAGGAGCGACCTTTCCTTCCTGGAAACGCACAGCACGGCGTTGTGAGCTGCTCTCCAACCGTTCCAGGAGGGCTGAACGCCCCTCTGGCCGCTCACTTCGTCGGGGGCTGCAGGACAGGTCTGCTGCACTCCATCAGTGCCTTCACCTCTGCGTTCCATGCACAGCGTTGGTCCTCTGTGGGTTTTTCTCCTCTGACTTCTCTCTGCGATTCCAAGGCGAATCATCCTTCCAGAAATGCTTTCCAGTGTCAGAAGAGATGTGACCTTCAAAACGGAGGATCTGCTTTCTCCCTAGCTGACATTTTTCAGTATGTTTACATACTGTGCAGTACGTACGCTATGTTAACCTCACCCCCAGCATCTTCCCATGTCCGGCGGTAGCGATGACCTGGAATCATAGATGCTAAGTCCAGAACAGTGGAGCTCAGTGAGTGGCTAATTTTTGAGGAGCATTTCCATCATTACCTGGGCCATCACCAGCCTGAAGTTATCCACGCACCCGAGATGTGAACAGGAACCTGCTGTGCCTCATCCCAGAGCTGGGAGACACAGACCAGGCCGCTGCAGGTTGACTGTGGTGCGGTGATTTCCCTGCCCTTTTATTTCCTTGCTGGGAAGCGATGTTTATTCTCCTGCAGATTTAAGCACTGCAGGGCTCTGTTTGCACTTAAAGGAGGGTGTGGTGGACAGTTCATCCCATTCTGAGATGGTATGGCCAGTTCTGAGCCAGGGCAATTACGTTTAATCCCACTCCGGCCCTATTGATTTGTGGAATTCTCTCCTGTTTTCACTTTCTTTCTTAAAGGACTCTCTTCAGTCCTTCATTATCCTCAGTCATGTCCTGAATCATTATGTTAGATTATGCCTTATAAAAATAAAAAAATATACACGATTCTGGATTTGGGTTGACCATCTCTGTCATTTTTGTTTTTGCTGTTGTGTGCAGGCCCTGGCTATTGTGTGAAGGCATCTCCAGTGACAAATACCATGTACAGCATGAGGCAGAGAGTAAAATTAGCACCTGTTTTACTGCTATTGATAACACTGCTTGAGCAGCTGTGGTTTGCTACATCAGTATTTCATCAGACAGTGAAATACTGAACTGGGAGCTGGTTGTATCAAGCATGATCTTGAATGAGTAACTACCACCATCTCTCAGATGACCCTTATTCTGATTGAAATCATTTCATTCCCAAAGTTATCTACATTTCACACAGATGTGGTTAACTTTTGCAGTTGAAAGTTACTGCTGTGAGACGAGAAAAATGTAAACAGTTTCTAGAAATGAAAGAGATGAATTCAATGATTTGCAGTTTTAGCAATGTGTTCTGTTGTTCATTCACTGCTCGTTCGGGGCTTTTATCTCAAGCCATACCCAACAATTGGGCTCTGGGTATGCCTGGGGCACCCCCCCTTTGGATGGATCTTGGCAAGAAAGTCTTTTAAATTCAAAGAATCATTTTGGCAAGCAGTCTTTACTTTGCAAATGCAATCTTTGTAGTTCTAATCACAGTTCTTAGCATTTGCCACTTTACCTGTTGGTGTAGTTTATGGAAGAAGTGGTGTGCAAGAGCAGATTCACATTTATTTCCAGGCAGGAAACCAGAAGTGCAAAAATGCATCATGAACTGAAGGGTCAGGGTGAAGGCTTTTTAAAGAAGAATTGAGGTGGTTGGATTGCATTTATCAGGCGCAGTCAAGCGGTCTAAAATTGACTTGTTTTGATGCTATTTGGAGCTCAGTGTAATGAAAAACTGACTTTGTGCAGATTGACTTTCTGCGTCACAGCCCGTCTTGGGATAGTAATACCAACAAGGACAATTAGTTTAACTGTCGTTCACAATTGCTGTTTGTTTGTACTGGATGGTTTATGGTAGAAACTGCAGCACAGCCTTCCATTGCAGCCCATGCCAGCGGCCTCAGTAATTGCCTGGTAGTCGCTGAAGGATGGACTCACCGAGGGCTTTCAAAGCAACCTACCCTCCTTCAAATATAACTGAAATTTATAGCTAGCAGCTTCAAAAATAACTCACATCTCTACCACCTCCAAAAACAGCTCTGGGACCATGTGGCCTTGTGGTTATGGCTCTGGGGTTGTGGTGATGAAGTCAGAGATTCAAATCCAGTTGTAGGGAGATAAAAAAGCTTCAAAGAAAGTGAAACCATTTTCGCCTTGATTATGTGGAAATAATAACATTTAATTTTACTTAGACCTGAAAATAAAACAAAATTCATAGCTGAAAATAAGGCATGGAGCTGAAGTGTCGTGCTGGCATGATAAGAGCATGTGGCTGGTGGGAAGGGAGCACCTTCAGTCTGCTGTGTCAGAAGGGTTTGCATCTCCTCAGTACATCATATTGAGGTCAGGGTGATAAGTCAGGCTGAAACCTCTGTGTAAACAGGATAGATAGGGGCCATCTGGATTTTTCAGGGTACCCTTCGTCTGATGGGTTTGGATCTCAGACAGGAGATCTGTGCTTGTCTGAGCTCTTAGTGGCCGTTCACAGCACATGGAAGGTGCCGTGTAAGAATTCTAGGATGCACCCTGGAAATTGTTGTTATGGTACAATAATTAGTACAAGGAAATTGGATAATAGCTGTGCAATGGTACTTTGTACAGGCTTAGGGTGGACAGGGTGTTTTCAGCTGTTAGAAAGCTGCCTTCCCAGACTGCAGTGTCTGTGTTATCTCCCACGTAAGGGTCTTTGTGCTGTGGGGTCTTGTAGGTTTTAAGGAGACGTCTGACCTGCTTCAGGGTAAGGATGCAAGAGACTGCCTAGTGGCTCATGGCTAAAGCCTTGGGACTGAAGCTGTGTCTTGGAGACAGATGTGTGAATATTTTCAAATGCCTTGGGCCAAAAAGGAAACTAAACCTGGGCTGAAGGTAATTAAATAGCTGCCATATTGTTGGCACATGAGAGCGCATGAATCCTGGTGGCTGGAAAGCTGACTTCCCCTCAGTGTGCAGAATGATCACCAAACCTCTGCAATCCTGCTGGGCTGTTCCTACAGCCAGTGGATGTTTCAGGGGTGTTGCTGAGGAATCCCTGAGGGAATCTCCTTCAAAACCTGGAGCAGCTCTGGCCCTCCCCCAGTAAAAGAAGCAAAAAAATGATCCTTATGATGTTGATGTTCATGTTTGGGATCTCTCACTGATTCTGCTCTAAGTTCCCTCTGTTTACGCACAGAATGAGAGGATTCTTAGCTTTTGCTGAGGGCGAATGTCAGGTTGCAGCCTCACTCCTTCGTATGTAAATGCGTAAATATGAAGGTGTATTTCAAGGCATAGCCTACAGACTGCTGCAGGTCGCAACAGGAAGATCCAGGCTGATATCAGTCCCAACAATTGCTGTTATTCGTTATGATGTTACTTATGATGACATCTGGAAGCCCCAAGTGAAGCTGTCACGTTTTTCTCATGTAGTAACATTTCAGTGGAAAAACACAGAGGTGGTAATGAGCGTCAGAGGTCCGTGTTTTCCCTGTGATGCACGGGGACTGTCCAACCCGATTCACCAGGGACGAGCTCAGCAGATTATTTCCTGAACTGCACCAAAGTTTAGTCTGCAGCAGAGACAAGTTACTGACAGAGAACTGATGTTTCTGCTGTTGGAATCCAGTGGATATCAAAGATGTCTTTGAATTTCTACAATTAGAAGCAGCCAAATAAAAACCAAATAACTTTCCAAGCAGATGGCCTTAGTCCTCGATACCAAAATTATCGAACTCCCCAAGCAGTGGTTTTGAGATGGATGTTAATGGATCTTCGAGCAAGAAGCATTAGTGATCTGGACTATAGCAACATTTTAATTAAGAAGTTGTACAATAACAGACTCAAAATGTAAACTTCAAAACATTTAAAGCCTAAATTACCCTGGGTTAAGAATTGGCATTGAGCATGTAATTTTTAACATTCCAGACTGCCTTCATTATAGTTCAAGAAGCCACAGAAATACACCGTTACGAGCCAGGAATAGTTCTTCCTTTTATTTGGAAAGAGAATTACAGAGGGAGCTATTGGGAACTGAAGTTTAGTTCCTAAAGCAGGAGCAGGCTGCAATATTTTTACACAGAGCTGCAACCACAGACTTGCACTCGCTCAAACATGCCGGACTAAACGGTGCCGGCTGTATAAATACTCAGCGCTAAGTTAAAACACAGGTTCTTTTTTATTTCAGCTTTGAAGGTTTATCGTGCTATTTCTACTTTTGCAATATCGTTTAGAGCCTAGATGCCATATATACACACAGAAAGCAGAAAGTGCCTGTAACTCAAACCTACACATTACAGCGGTGGTTCCTCAGTAGGTTTGGAGAAGGGCTGATTCTGTTCCGGCCATTGTTGATGGGCACAATTCTCGCTTTCATTTGTGAACATGCGCTTAAAATTAAAAAGCAAACCCTTCTGCCTTTCTTGTATTTTTTTTTTTTTTTCAGCGGGTTGCTCCTCAACTGCATCATAATGCTCATATAATCTCTTTTTCAGAAATTGGACTCGCATAACTAGTTGGTATGCAAAATATGTAAGGCCCCAGTCTGCTCTGAATTACACCCATGCAAACCGTTGAAACTTAAAAGGGAATTTAAAATATGCATGAGTAAGGAGAACAAATGGCGCCAAAAAGTTCTTTGAGGAGATGCTTCAGAAGATGGTGCTGCGGGTGTTGTGCACTTCCTCACCTGTGCCCCCGGGACGGGGAGGGGAGAGGCTCTGATTTTTAAACCAGGAGAGCCAAAAACTGTGTTTTGTTGGCGCTTTTGGTGAATCAAAAGGCGTAGGAGCAGCCGTTGTTGCTCACTAATGTTCTTAATTAACTAAAATTTATTGAAAAGCTCCCATGGAACAGTATCCTAAATCTCACGGCTCGTCAGAAGTCAAATGTTACATTGTTTTGTCAAGAACAGTAAATAAAGTCAGCATGGATGGGCAAGAAGGGCTCTGTGGAAGTGAGTGGCTGCGATGGTGCTGCTCAGGAAGGTGCTTTGCAGTTGCTTTTCCCCGTGTTGCTATAATGGGGTGGGAACTGATTTGGCTTTGTGGCCTTCATTGATGTGAGCACACAGGGCTGTGCTTCTGAAGCCTCCATCCCAGGACAGAGCGCTTTTTGCATACTTCATAAATTGTTTTGACTGCTTTCAGATTAACTATTGAACCACAGTGGAAGCGTATGGATTCAAGATATTTCTGGTGATTGTGTAACTGGAAAAAACTGTCCTGATTTTAAAGTATTTTTGGCATACGAATGAAAGTAAATAAGCAATTCTAGAGACTCACTGGAAAGTAATGGCTCCTGCAGGACACTAGCTGTGCCAGGAACTCTGGCAGATGCACTGAGCCTTCGCTATTAAGCTTCAAATGAATGCATTTTTAAAGCAAAAGATCAAAATCGAGGATATATAATCTAAAATGTAAGGAATTTGGAAAGAACCGCAAAGGGAAATGTGCAGCTGTATGAGCTGCGTTAGCGGGAGCGCTGTGGAAGGAAGCCTGGCGAGCTCCTGGGGCAGCTCAGCGCTGTGGTGACCCTGGGCTGAGCGGAGCTGCAAATGTTGGCCCAGCTGAATTTCTGATGGCCGTGGTGTGTTAGGAAGCAGGAGGAGGAGCAGCACCTTCTGTTGGGTGACAGGGAAGCACCGGGCTGGCGGCCTTTGGACAGGAACAGTTTGTCCCTGCACTTCCATCCATGATTCACCAGTGTGAAGGAGTCATCAAAGCTCCACTGTCAGTGAATGTGTCATTAGGGGAAGTGTTCTGCTTTTTTCCTAAACAAGAAGTTAACAAAGCATTATTTTTCACTGCCTTCGTGCTCTGAGCAGCGTTTCAGAGACTGCAGCTCCTGTTCTTTGTTGTTGCTCTGTTTGCTTGTTTCAAAGCCATCACCGAGTCCCCCAG